TAATTTAAACACACACACACACACACACACACACACACACACACATATATATATATATATATATTAAGTATTAAATATTATTTATTTAAAATCTATTTATATGAATTGAATTAATATTTTAAAAATTGAAATACCGACCGAAATCGGTCGGTATTGGTTCGGTCAAATGGGAAAACATTTTTTAACATTTTCGATCGATTTCGATCGGAATATTTGAAATTATGATTTATCGCCCAAGGCAATTGGTTTTTAATATAATTTAATAATATTACCGACCGAAGTCGGTCGGTTTTTGTCAACCTTTATATAAATAGCTTTAAAATAAATAATATTTAATACTTAATTGATATATATATATATATATATATATATATTAAGTAATTATTAAATATTAAGTAATTTTTAAAAACACACACACACACACACACACATATATATAAATATATATTTAAAAAAATACATACACATACACACACACACACATATCTAAGGGTTTGGTGAGGGCAGCGAAGTTAGCTTGACTGCTACTTAGCTTCATCCCTTAGACAATAAATAACACAATTGTGCTAAAGCGATGGCAATCACACGAAAATAAGCAAGAAAGCTATGAAAGAAAGAGAATCAGATTTGGGATGCAAGTTACCATTTCTGTTGTATTTTCAAATATCTGATGCTTACAAAGAATGAGTATAAAGCCTATTTATAGAAATTAAAATGGCTATACAAAGGGGGTGGTTGGCAGGGCTGGTAAGTCTGTCCAGCAGCCTCGTGCATTCTAGCTTGGAAAGCTGCCTGGTGTATTCTAGTAGCCTGGTGCATTCCAGCTTGGAAAGTTTCCTGGTGCATTCTAGCATGGAAAGGCAGACTTAGAGGGATCATGCTGTCAACCATGGCCCAGAAGGTCAAAGATGCCTTCCCATTTTTGGTTGCTTGTCCCTTGGTCTGCTGACTTACTGCTAAAGGCGCCTTCTGATGGCATCTCATGATTTATGTGTGGCCCTAACTGTTTTCCCACTTATGGTTGTTCGAGATTTGGGCTCGGGCAAGCCACGCCGTCGCTGGAATTGTGAAAAATTAATAGGTGTGACGGCGGGGCGGTGCACTCTCCCCCACTTGAAATGGCGACGACCCCGGCGCCGTACAACTGAAGATAATTGTGGACATGTTCCCTGAACTTCCACAAATCTTCATACTTCCCCCATGATTCCTCCTCTGGCGAAGTTCTTTTCCAGTGAACAAGGAACTGTGTGCTCGAATTGCCACATCCTTTTCCATGGACCAACTGATGGTCTATGATGGCTTCCACTTGCTTGTTTGTTGCTGGCGGAGTAATAAAAATTTGGTTGCGGCTGGATTGCGCCCGATCTTTGTCTTCCATGTCTTCGAAATATGGTTTCAGTTGGCTAGCATGGAAGACGGGATATATTTTCAGATGACGCGGCATGTCCAGTCGGTAAGATATTATACCCACCTTAGCAACAATCTCGAATGGGCCCTCATATCGGAGAATCAGACTGTGATGTACGCCTCGCAATGATTTGAACTTCCATGGATTCAATTGGTATCATAGCCTAGGTTCTTGCATGGCTAAGAACTTACATCGCAACATAGAAGAAAACCACATCGAAGAGAACCCAGAACCACAGAGAGGTATGGGCCGAAAGCACGACAAAAGTAGGGTTAGAGACGCATCTCCACCTGATAGCGAGTTGCTACCCTACGTGGAACCCGAAACTTTCGAAACTAGAACTCTCAATGAGAGAGTTGACATGGTAGAAAAGGGTCTGACGTCCGTTCACCATCGTATTTCCGCCGCCGAAAACAATATATGTTCCCTTGAGTCAGTTGCTCTTGATGGACTTGGCGAAGTCAAAAGGAACGTTCAGGAGCAAGATGAAGGGCTACCCAACCTTGAACTCAAGCTCACTGAGGTTTTATCTGCCTTACAGGCAGAAGTTAAAGTTTTAAAGCTGCGTCTTGAGGAGACAACAGGAGCCAGCGGGCGAGGTCCCATCACTGTCCGAGAAACACGTATTGAGGCTCCTAAACCCAAAGAATTTTGGGGTGAAAGAAGCGCTCAAGACATGGAAAACTTCTTGTGGCAGCTGGATGCTTATTTCGAACATATGAGCATAACCAGCGATGCTGCCAAAATCCGAATGGCAGCCATGTACCTAGCAGAAACCGCCATACTTTGGTGGCACAGGAAGAAG